CAGGTTAGGATGAGAATATTAGATGGTTGAGATTACAACGAAACGAAATTGACAGCAACAAAGAGAGAAGAATGAAAAGAGATGGAGCGGCGCAGGAAGAAGATGAAATTAGGTAAGAAGATGAAATTAGGTTTTCTGATTTGTGTTTTAATAGAGTTGGGTGAATGAGTTATTTGTTGTATCTTGGAAAAAACAATTTCTTTGGTTGTATAGATTTACCGTTTCAAGAACTCAACATTTATGATGATTGTTCATCTTGTGCTGCCAATTTAAATCTTGCAACAAATTAATAAATCAAATAAATAAAAAATAGTGTAAAATTATGATAGATTGACATGTCAGCAAAATTAAATGCCAAATGAATATGGTAACAGCATAGTGTTGATTAGTCTATTATACCCTTGAAATAAGAAAAGTTATAACATCTAATCAAAAGGTTAGACTTGGAATTTCCAGATACTTTACTTTTAATAGATTGATAATAAATAATAGATAATAGATAATAGATAGATTATTTTATTAAATAAACTAAAATATATTTTAGGAGACAATTATTAACAATATTGATTAATTAATATCCAAGATCAAGATATGTTTCCAATTTAAAAGAAAACATATTGTTTATTGTAGTCTTCTACAATTCAAAAAATATTCTTCTCAATTACGCGAAAAGAAAAACATTCTATTTCTATAAAAAAACTAAATGATTCATTATCCCAAGAAATAATAAAATGGATATAATGCAAAACTAAAAATATGGATATGGATATGATGAATAGCGTGGGTCGCGCTGATGTTGACACCAGTGCATGTGCATTGCATCCATCCACACCAAATCATTTCCCGTACCTACCAACCAAACTCTTATTCACATTTCCCAAGAGAATTTCAACGACAACGTAATAATCCAATACAACGGCACCACACTATCCCCAACTACACCCTCAATCCCCAGCAACAACATTCTCTCTCTTCCCCATCACCTCCACACCATGGTCTGAAAACCCTCGCCAAATTCCGGGTCATGGGGGCCTCGTTGTCGAACCTTGGATCCAACGGTTCGACCATCGGTCCAAGCCTCGGCGACATCCCGGAGAATTGCGTTGCTCGTGTTTTCCTCCACCTATCTCCGCCGGAGATTTGTAACCTAGCTCGTCTCAACCGCGCTTTTCGCGGCGCCGCTTCCGCTGATTACGTCTGGGAATCTAAATTACCGTCGAACTACGAAGATCTTATCCGTTTAATCCCCCTCGAACGGTGTCGGAATTTGTCGAAGAAGGATATTTTCGCTGCGCTCTCTCAGCCGTTGCCGTTTGATGACGGTAATAAGGTAGGTTTTGGTTTTTGATGATTTTTTTGTGATGTGAGATTTATTGATGGAACTAGGGTTTATGTTGCAGCAATTGTGGCTTGATAGGGTTACTGGAAGGGTTTGCATGTCGATTTCGGCGAAAGGTTTGGTGATTACTGGAATTGATGATCGGAGATACTGGACTTGGGTTCCCACTGAAGAATCTAGGTTACTTTCTTAAAACCTTATGCTTTGGAAATGTTAGTGTTCAATGACAAAATCTTGTTTGATGTGAAGTTTTAAGTCTGCATTTGTGTTGGAGTGGTGTTACTTTACATTTCATGTTGTACTGTTCTGCGCGAGGTTTCCCTTGATTTCACCAAATGTGATTTATGCTGTTACTTTTAACTACTTGTTTTGTTAAATATACTATAAATTCAAATCTAAGAGTGTGTTTGGATAAGTTGATTAATTAAATGCTTATTGAATACTGTTTATCAGATATGCATTTCTATAATTGTAGATATGATAAGCATGATTTTTTTTTTTGTGTGTAAGGTGCTAGTTGTTTTCTTAAATTACGATGGAAAGCTTATTGAAATCACTTGAAAACAACTTACGAACATGTCATGAGGTGTTTTACACTTATACAAGCGCATTCGACATAAGATTAGTCCGGCTATACTGCAAATTAACTTTTTCAATTGAACCCTAAGATCCAAATATGCAAATTCTTTTGTTCTATCACAAATTTATATAATTTTTTCCCATAGATTGCCTGTTAAAGTCTCATTGTTGCCTGAGTGGCTTGTTTGGTTTGTCTTGATTGTTCTGTAGTTGTCATTTTTAGAAAGTGGAAATAGGATTATATTTCAATGGTGTCAAATTCTTTTGATTCAAGAGGAGTGCTAGAAGAACAATGTTTTTGAGTCACAAACGAGTATACGTTCATTTTTAAATAGTCAATATGGTTGCTTTGTCGGATGATCACTTTTAAAAAAAAAATGTTTAGTTTTTGAGAAACAAACCATTCAAGAAGAGTATGGTTTTGTTCGTTCCAGTATAAAAATAATTACCGTTACAACTTGTTACAATTCATTTGTTTAACTTTCCTGATGCTATGTGTTTGTTTTGTGCTTTTATGGGCTTCAGTTACAAACTCTATAATAGGAATGTTAAATTGTTGGGTACTGCCGACTACCCTGCTGTAGCCACCAAACTAAACAACCTAGTGTGCGTGGATCAGTTCCTTGATTTGGACTTTAATTGGCCCAAATCTAATGCAAAGGTCGTTATAGTATGGACTACATGACAGCCGAATTTCTGTATTTAATTTCGAGAATAAATGCATCCTCGGCTAAGTTCCTTTCTGCTGATATTTCATCTCATAAAAAAGAAAATCACTGTTCAACTTCTATTTTTTTGACTTCTGTATGAAATACTGTTTTAGTATTTGCACATAAACTTCTATGCATACATGTTCCGCCTTTAGTCCGGATGAGAAACCAAACTTCCAGCCTCAATTATGAAGTAAATTGTATTCCCTCTCTTGAAAGATGCTTAAAATATACTATATTCATCTCTAATTTTTAAACCACACTGCTTACTCGCCTATGTTATTAAAATTGGCTTTTCCGGCCAATATCTCGACACGGAACAGCAAAATCAAGAAAACTGCATCAGGCTGTGCCGTTCCTTCACATATGGGCGACTTGGTTGAAAAGGCCGCAATAATGGGAATAGATTCATAATGACGCCGCGTCATTGCAGCCGCTCCAGCTGCGTTAGCTGTAAATGATATTACCCTTACATTTTAAAGGATAACAAGGTTATTTTATTGAATTTTATTGGCATTTTCAATCGTGTGTTGCTCAAGACTTCTGACTTTTATTTCTAAATATAAATACTTCATGAATTTTGATTAATTTTTAACAATTATGTGTTCAGTAATATTAACTATATTAGTATCCGCGTCACTGAAATTTCGGCCGTTCTGCTTTGTGCTCCCGTTCCGTTCCTTTTCTGAAGATGGTCGTGCCGTGATCCGAGATTGATAACATAGTTAATACTCGCCGCAATAGATGAAATTTGTGTCATTTTAATGATGACTTGCAATTGTAAACGAGCCTCCTAATGGCGCTTCTCATTGCTATTTTTGGTGTTATAAGAAGCTATTTTTGAACATCTGGTCAGCAACGCCTGAAGTTTAGAAGATTAAATGAATCGTTTAACTCACATTTTTCATAAAATATACGGAAATTGTCAGCAACGGCATTGATGCTCATGTGTTGCAGCAATAGAAAATTAGCTGTAAGGGACCTGTTCACATCCAAATGCAAACTGTTGTGTAGTTCAAGTTAATCTCTTAAAAAAGGGAAATGTTTGTTCTATGAATGAAACATCAATTTTTTCCAGTTTCCTTTCTTAAAATCACGCCAAGTTCCTCATTTGCTATTTGTATTTTGTGTTTTTTTTCAGAAATAGTACCACTATTAAGCTTGATGCTCAAGCTGTTTTGTTTATTTCATCTGTCCTCATTCTATTCTGATTATTGAATTAGATTTCTATTATCATTCATTTCAGGTTCAATGTTGTAGCATATTTGCAGCAAATATGGTGGTTTGAAGTGGATGGTGAGGTCGACTTTCCATTTCCTGCTGATAGTTATACTCTCTTCTTTAGACTTCACCTTGGACGATTTTCCAAAAGGCTCGGCCGGCGCGTATGCAATTATGAGCAGACCCATGGTTGGGATATAAAGCCGGTAATATTTAAGTTGTCAACTTCAGATGGTCAGCAAGCATCATCTAAGTGCTGCTTAGATGAAACTGAGAACGATGATACATATGGCAATCATAAGCGAGGATATTGGGTAGATTACAAGGTAGGCGAGTTTATTGTGAGTGGATCTAAACCCACTACTAAAGTTAGATTCTCCATGAAACAGATTGATTGTACACACTCAAAAGGTGGGCTTTGTGTAGATTCTGTATTTATCATACCTAGCGATTTGAGAGACCGCAAGGGAGGTGGCTTTTTGAAATGATCAGACATGGAATAGAGCTTTTTTACCTTGTTGATAGCAAATATCCCAAAACACTTTGTTGGGATCTATTACACAGCTACACTAGTGAAGATAATTTAGAATGCGGAGGATATCATCTTTTGCTGGCTTTTTTTCTTAAATCTTCTTTTTTGCTGGTTCTGTGGCACATATGTACCAACTAGTTGTATCTAATCGCAATTTCTATGTATTTACGTTTTTCCCCTGTTCTCTAGGTTTTTTGAATGGGTTCTTTAAGGTATTGTTTCATAAGGTTAGATAACAACAGATGTAGTGTAGTTTTTGAAATAGCCCCATTAATTCAACATGCATAACCCTAAAATGATAAATTCCTACTTTTCTTCTTTATTTTCACCGCCACACGGCTTATCCTTCTTTCTTGCAAGTCGCACCAGCTATGTATGTTATGCTGTCCTTATCTTTCTTTCTTCGTTGATAGTTGGTGGTTGGAATCTGGGAGCGTTTGGACAGTTGGGTTTGTTGGAATGTTGACTTGTGCATTATGACTTTGCTGATTGACATTGCACAAATTTTCGATGTCTGGGACACTATGGACACATAATATTGCCAATGTAAAATGCATGATACACATGTAAATGAATATATATTAAGAGGCATGGCCAAACGCAACAAATTAGATGGATCATGTCGGAACATGGTTGGATTAGACTGCACACAGATGGGACAGTGAAGAAGCCTGGAGAGCTGGATTTGCGAAGAATACATTTGTTAAGTTGGAGTGGCGGAGCTTTGGGAGTATATGAAGGTTTGAATTATGCTTACCACAAAGGATATAGGAAAATTGAATTGCACATAGACAATATGGAGGTCCTTAAGGCAATTATATCCGATAATGGATGGAGATTAATTTATAGAATCAAGAGTATAATCAATTTTGATTGGGAGATTCGAATCAACCACATTTATCGTGAATCAAATAGATGCAATAGATGCTTTGATCCTTTAGCTAGTCTATTATCAGGACTATAATACTTGCCCCACAGAATTTTGTTCTCAATTCATGTTGGATATAGTGTTGGCGCAAGCCAGCCTCATGTGTTAGTACTTTGGTCCTCCTTGTAATAATAAAAAACGACAATTATATATATATATATATATATATATATATATATATTTTTTTTTCCTTTCTATTTTATCACGACAATTATACATATTTTTTTCTTTCTATTTTATCATGAGTATAATTTTCAAACAATTTGTTTAAATTTCTTTATTAGCATTTACTTTAATACTAAATATTGTTATTCCATCAATAACCTCAGATTTATAATTTTGTTACAGTTAAATTTTTTTATTACTAACTTTAGAGAGATGAAGATGATAAATACGATTTTTTTTAGCAATAATCAGATATTAAAAAAAATATATAAATGATTATATTTCGAAAAAAATTATGCAAATAACTATATTTTAGAATATACGTCAATAGAGGCGTCATCCCACTTGACACATCCATTCATCTTTTTGCCTTAGACGATATCTCACTTGGCACATGCACTTTCTTTTAGCCATGTGAGACGGCGCATGCACTATAGTATGGGGAAGAGGCGCAATCTGAGATGGTTATTACGTGTAATTGTATTTTTTATAAATAAAACATTCATTTCTCCATCATTCTTCACACTTTCACACATTCTCTTCTCATTTCTCTCTGTTTTTTACGTCATCACATCTCCCATAATTTTTACCAGAGATGGGTACGTTATTTTCTCGGTCATCAAACATCCGATGAAAATGAAATTTTGACGCATTCATTCCATGAAGCGTCTGAAGAGAGAGTTGATGCGATGGCTAGAGGGAGACATCGAAGCCGGGAAACAAATTAGAAGGATTCAGAGAAGAAGAACAGTCACCTCACTTGCAACTGGAAGACTTCAATCTTGGTTGGAGGAAGTCAAAGCAGATAGAAACGTAATGGTGATGATGCATGGCTAAGAGGAAATTGTTTTGACGGTTGTAATTTCTTAGATGTTTTATCGTGTTGTTGATGTTATATTTACATGTTGTATTTTAACGTAATGGTGGTGATATGTTTTTATTTGTTGTTTGCGTATAGTTTTTTGTAACAAATGCTCTTAATGAAAAAAAGTTACGCTTAGATCTTAAAAAAGTGCATATAGTTTGTATACAATTTTTATGTTGTCGAGTTTGTAGCACGAGTGAATAATTTTTTGATTGCGTTCGACCTGACGGCATAAATTACACTTTCTTTCTAGCTTGTCAATGGAGTCCATTTTAGTTGTGATACGCTTGCTTTTGAGATGACCATTTTTATTCCTTCACATTTGATCATTGTGCCATACTATTTTCCCTTCGTATGTAGGCCAATAATCAAGTTTTACTACCACTGGAAAGTTATTGTTGTATACGCTGAGCAACGTTTCAGACTTGTAAATGGGAAATAGAAGTAGTAATGCATCTTGATGTATATACGTACATGTCACAATGACATGAGAGCAAGGCATACGAAAGGCTTAAAACTTTCAACAATCGTACCAACGAGATGGTAGTATAACCATATACTTTTATCTTGGCAGACCCTCGTTGTGGTCGATTATATCTTTGACAATAAAGTTGTGGCTATGTCGGTCGAACCTTATAACAAAATGTGTGTTGGCTTTAGCACCTTCTGCCTTAATATATTTCATGCATCTTTCACTCCATAGTTGTCTCGATTGTAAGACCATGTTCCATATTTCAACTCTTTTTAAAAACAACGAAGTCATCCTAAAATATGTTAATTTCACCAAAGCAGTTACTGGGATTTTTTGTATGTCTTCGAATACATCATTCATTGATTCAATAAGATTTGTTGTCATGTGACTCCATCGTTGTCCATTATCGTATGATCTTGTCCATTTCTCCATTGGAATATTATCAATCCATCTACCTGCATTGGATTTGACAATCTGATCTTGTTGCGATATGTTTGAATGAATGTTGTGTTAATGTATACCCCACGTTCATAAATGTTTTCCTAAGAGCCCTGTCTTTGATCTCCCTCATGAAATTTTGTAGGATATATCTAATGCAGTAGACATGCGTAGAAGGAGGGTCATGCCAACCATTTGTAGGATTATTATATGCACTCTTAATAGATGCATGTCTGTTGGAGATCAAACAGAAACTAGGTTGTGGAGCCACGTGTGTTCATATATTCTTGAGAAAGAAACTCCAAGCACCACCAGTCTCTCCCTTGATTAGAGCAAAGGCAATTGGGAAAATGTTGTTGTTTCCATCTTATGCAACTACCATCAATAACGTACCTTTGTAATTCCCGTACAATCACGTTCCATCTATCTGAATAATAAGCTTGCAAGATGCAAACCCTGTGATACAAGATTGAAAATCACAGAACAGTCGACTGAATATTCCATTTTCGTTGACAGAAGTATCATGTGTGAAAGTGGTGTGTATATTTCATTTGGAGGTATTTCAAGTAGTGCATTGTCTTCAGAATTATCGTTGACCATGTTGTCAAACTCTAACTCTTCATCTTCCTCTTCTTCGCCAACAACATCTATTTCTACTTGTTTGTCTTCGAGAGGATCAACCACTTGTGATTGAGTTGGCTGTGACAGCTGAGGCTCATGCAGCACAATGTACATCTCAATCGAGTTGTACCCAGAATACTCATGACTAGAAAACATATTTTAAAGATTCTCGTCATCTTGAACCTCTACCTTATAAAATATTATCTGGTTCTCACAAAAAAAAGGATTTTGGTAGAAGATGTGTGACACTGGACCTCTTTCAAGTTTGATCTCCAGTCATTTTTTGAAATAGAAAAATTGGCTTTTCTGTTTAAACAAAATAGGATGCTATCGGTGTTCATAAATAAAAAACCAGAGACATCACAATTGTACGTCTCTCCATTGAAATGTACACTGATAACATATTATGTTGCAGAGAACATTGTGTTTGCGTGTTTGAGTGTTTGAGTATGTGAAAATTTGTTTGAGTGGTGATAACATAATGTGCATGCAAGAGAATAAATAACACGCAGATGAGGCGAACAAGACAAATTTGATCTACCAATGAGGTGCCAATTGGGATAGCGAATCCTCAAATAATTGGCCTAAGACGCCAACTGGGATGGCACATCCCTTATAGGTCTGTCACGTAGTATGCAAGCCTGCCACCTACACTACGCCTGCCACCTACACCTGCACCTATGTTTCCACCCTACGCCTGACCCATGCCACTTTGAATGGCGCATGCACTTTAAAGTGCATGGAGACGCTAACCCACTTGGCGCATTGGTGACACGTGTTTTGCATGCATAGAATCCCCAACCACCTCATTAACTCATATCTATACGAATTAACTTATAAATGTGGCGCCTCATACACTTATTTTGCATCACCAATCCCCACTCTCTCTGATACAATCTATTTCACTGTCTTAAACTCTTTAAAACATGGTTCTTCTTACAATGGGCGATTCTCACAGAGGAACAAGACAAAAGTGTAAAATCAAGCTTCTCAAATACACTTTTGTTTTGATGAAGACAAACCATGATTGACAAAGAAGGCAAAAATATTATTGATCAAGCTAAAAGCATCTATGGATAAAGTCTTTAGTTCAAACACTTTGCAAATTTCAAGGTATCATGATAATACTTACTTTGAACTTAAGACATAAATGTTCAATGGTCAAAAGAAATATTTTATATTGTCCAAATCTTTACTCAAGTTTTTTTCTAAGCTAAAAACATTTTTTTTACTTGAGTGCAATCGATTTGCATATTAGTGCAATCGATTGCATGCTTCAATTTTTCAAATCTTTTGCTATTGTTTCTAAGCGTAATCGATTTGCATGTTTATGCAATCAATTTCACTCAATTAGTTTTTGCTACTGACTTCACATGCAATCAATTTACACTCTTGTGCAATCGATTGCACACTCAAAATATTTGAAATTCTAGCTGTTGAAACCCCGTGTAATCGATTGCATGTTGCACGATTTTGAAAAACAACAGCTTTGCACATGCCTGTTTATAACACCATTTCATGGAAACCTTTCACTCAATCTTGGCAATTGTTCATGATTCATCTCCAGAATTTTATGTTGTTTCAAAAAGGTGCTATGAACATATAAATACTCATTTTCAAAATCATTTCAACACCTCTTCCAAATATTTTTTCTAAATTTTCAAAAAACAAACTCAAGCTGTTATACATTTTCATACACAAGTTTTCTGCACACTTTCACATATTGTTAACCAGAAAAATTTGAGCATTATATATCTTGAGTCATTATATACTATTATAATTGGAAGAGAAGATCAATTCATTGATTAAATCACTCAAAGTGATCATTTCTACTCAAAATCACTCAAATCAAATATTGCTATATACTTGCTTATTTTTCAGGATTGTTGGAAATAAGTTTAAGTGGTTTTATAAATCTTGTTTTTTCAGGATTGTTGGATACAAGTGAAGTCACTTTGATAGGATTGTTCTCATTGTTGACATAGTGAAAATCCAAGAGGATTGTTCTTGGTCCAAGAGGATTGTTCTTGGTTTTGGGTAGTTCTTGCTTAAGTTTTCCACAATAAGGAAATCTCTTTCATGTTGAAAGGGGTCTGGAGTACTCTCAGACTGTAAGGGGAACCAGGATATATCGTTTGTGTCTCTTTATTTTTTTTCACTTTACTCTTTCATAAACTCACCATAATCCAGAAAAATAATATCTATCATCACTAAAACCAGAAAATTTTAAAGTGCCTAATTCACCCCCCTCTTAGGCACACTTCGTACTTACAATTGACATCAGAGCAGGTTATAGGTAACCTGTTCCTAAAAGATCCAAAATGGCTTCCGCAAATTAAAATCCCGTTTTCAGAGATGGTGGTAGTAACAACAAGCATCCTCTATTTTGTGGTGAATATTTTGATTTCTGGAAAATACGCATGAAGGCACATCTAGAAGCACAAGGAGAAGAAATATGGGATGCCGTCGAGAATG